GGGCGCTGGGGGGAGGCGGCGAGCCTGCTGCGGCTCCGCTCTCCCCGGTGGCCGGAGCGCCGTGGGGAGGGCAGAGAGCCCGGCCGTGGCCCCACTCTCCCCGGCCGGCCGGAGCGCCGGGAGAGGGCTGTGAGCCCGGCCGCGGCCCTGCTCTCCCCAGGTGAGCGCCGCCCCCCTCCAGGTGCCGCCCCAAGCACATGCTTGGAGGGCTGGTGCCTGGAGCCGGCCCTGCTTCGAATCCCTCAATCCCAGCTCTGAGCACCCTCCTACATCCCAAACCCCTCATCCTCAGCCCTGCACCCCCAACCAGAGCCCTCAGCCCCCCACATCTCCCCCTCCACCCCAGCCCCCTCCTGCACCCTGAACTCTTCAGTTCTGGCCCCACCCTGGAGCCTGCACCCCCAGCCAGAGCCCTCACCCTCTCCCGCACCCCCACCCCAATTTCGTGAGCATTCATTGTCTGCCATACAATTTCTATACCCAGATGCGGCCCTCTGACCAAAACGTTTTCCCACCCCTGCATTAATCGCTCTCTCTCTCTTGGGCTATGTCTACACTGGCAATTGAATGACAAAACTTTTACCACGACAAGTGCCAATATGAACAGCGCATTGTCTGCAGGAGCACTCTCTTGCTGACAACGCAAACACTGATCATTGAGGGTGGAAGTTTTTTGTCGGCAGGAGAGCCGACAAACAGCAGCTAAACTGCACGAATTTTAGCGGCACGGCTGTGGCGACACAGCCATGTCACTAAAAGCTGTGTAATGTAGACAAAGCCTAAGTGGTCTCGGTGCCACTAGAATGGGACAGAATAGCACATCCAGGAGGTGTGTGGGTTATAAGTGGAGAGAGGGGATTATGAGAGGGGATTTCTGCCTTCATCTGAAATATCAAATATTGGCCAGAGAGGGAGGTCGATATTGGATTCCACAAACAGAGGATCTGCTGTGACAAATTATTTGTTACTTAGTGCAGATAAGCAATAATCATTCCCCTAATAGATGACAAGACTGGAACATCCCTTTTTTACCTTTCTATTTGCTTTAGGAGTCTTTCCTGGAACTCTCCCATTTCCCTATACCTAAAAGGGTCATTCACTTTTTTTAGTTCCTATGCAATGAATGGGCAATGCAAAGTGATGTATCATGGCCTGTTATGGTTACATCTCATCTGATGAGAGCAGTGTTTCATTTGTAGTATGTGGCTACTCTCATTTGGCTTTGTGATTCTCCTTTTTTGCACCACTTAGACAGTGATAGTCCTTCTCAACTGTATGTATTTATATAAAAATCATCACACGTCAGTAATGCATTGTAAAGACAGAACAGTTGGAATTTTACAATTGATCAAACTCCAGGAATTTAGACCAACATGCCTGGACATTAGCAGAACCGGTAGTATATTTTCTCACCACAGAGAGTCTTGTTGATAAAACGATTATAAGAAATCTTTGCTTAATAACAAAATGGATAAGGAAAAATCCCGCTGGCAATCTTTTTTTCCCCTTCTAGTCTGACATTTACAGCCCTTTTCTGGGTGAGCACATGTAAAAGGATTCAGTAGCACATACACTATTGCAGCCACTACTTACAGCTTGTAAACTCCGACTCTTCACTGTGTCCTCACCAGTGGCTTAGTGGAGTTGCAGTGCTCTGGATTTACACTGTTGCAATACATCAGTTCCCCAACACTATATTACCCAATACATAGCTTGAAATAGGGTAAGTGCTTTGAATACTTAGGATGTGAAAGCTGCTTGAATAAAACCCTGTTTGCTTTCCATTCCTCTCCCCTAATCTGTTTTAATGTGCTTCTTCCGGGTGCAGTTTGTCCCTTTGTAGAGATCCAGCACAAGACCTATGCACTGCTTAGGTCCCATTTAAGCCCTGTGTTGAGTGCTGCATAGACCTTGTGCTGAAACTCTGTGAAGGGATGAATTCCATCTTCTCTGAGCCCACCTAATCTGGTCTCTGAATTCTTGTTGTCCTGCAGGAAATGATTGATGAAGCAGATGTGGATGGAGATGGGGAAGTGAATGAACAGGAGTTCCTGCGGATTATAAGGATGAACAGCATGTAGCTAGATGTTTCTCTTTTCTTTTTACTCACAGTTTTAAATACGGTTGGTAGGTACATCTGTTTTTTCTCCAGCCTCTCTCCATTCTCCTGGGGTTAAAAAATGGGGAATCACTATCAGAATTTTTCAGAATCATGGTTGCAGTGGGACTGAATTACTGATTTTTAGCTGTCTATATCCTAATGTTGGATTCCATTGCAGAATTTTTAAATGATCTCAAGTAGCATTCTGGGTGTAGGTCAAATATTGACTTGTTTTTTTGATTGTTTTCATGTTCCAATGTGATAACTTCATTCCCCTTTTAATTGCTTCCAAAAAAGGCAGGGGAATAGACTTTCGTGAATAATAGGAAACATTTTTCAAAATGTACTTTTTAAGAAGGAGCCAATCCCAGAGTCCGATCCCAGAAACCCAATCAAAATCTGTTCCTGGCACATACTTAGGCCCTGATCCTGCAATCAGATCCGTGCTAGTGGACCCTGTGCCCATGCAGAGACCCATTGACTTCAAAGGGCCTTCCTGCAGGGGTCTGTCCATTCAAAGCCAATTGCAGAATGGGTCCTTATTTGTCTATAGCATTCACCTAAAAAGTGAGATGCATGTATCTGAGACTTTTAAGTTGATTTTGATTTAGCCCAATGTGGGAATTTAGGTGTTTCACTTTAGCAATGTGAGAGTCCCAGTGCAGTGAATTGGTATAGAAAATGCATTGCAGATGGTGAACTCTGTCATCACCCTTCCTGAAGTACACACTGAGTTGTCATCAGTATTTTATCCCCTGGCCTGATTTTACACTCTTGTTTGGGAAACACTGTTTTCATTTGTTATATCCACTGGCACTAATTATTTTCTGTATCCCAATAAAACTTGTTTATAACTTTTTCTCTTCATGGATTAGTTCTCTCCACTGCTTTGGACTCTTCATCCATAGCATGAAATTCCACCTAAATGTTTCCCTTTTATAATTTCAGCCCATTGCTGCCTCCACATCCCCACAGGGATTACCCTCAAAAGTTAATTCTGATGGTGTATGGATGAACTTTGGTACTCAAGCCCACTGCATTGTGGAACTCCTGCACCCACTGAGAGCGATTCTGGGGCTAGTGGGAGAGGATTCCTGCTTTCTGTATGCTAGAGAGTGCCTTGGAGAGCAAGGACTGTAGAGGCACAGGGTCTCCATACAGCTCACTCTGGCTACTGCAAGTTCCCTTGAGATCCATGCCTAGCGTCATGGTATTTAATAATAGGGGTTTTGGATGAGGCCTTAAAAGTGGAGTGTGATGTATTGAGCATATGTCTGTGTCAAACTGTGAACTCCTTTTTGTTTTGTGAACAACATTTCTGATTGTAACCTTAATTGTGGGCTTCCCTTTACTTGTAACCTCCATATTGGATTAAGGCACCCACTTTGTGCTGAAACTCAGCCTGGCCCTGACAAGACTGTCTGTTCTAGACACTGTCCTGTTCACGCTGGGCTGTAGGACACTTCAAGGATGTGACAATGAGAGAGCCATTAAGGGCCATCAAAGTTGAAAGACTCTTTCCTAGTGGAACAATGGGTTTTCTATCAGTAGTGCCATTGACTTTGAATGATTGTCTACCCAGAAGCCTCTTGTGGGGCTGGAGCCTGGAATTCCTCTAGATGAAACACATGGGCAAAAAGAGGGCAAAGGTGGGTGATTTTCTGAGCCAGGGACAGACCACCACCACATGCCAGATGACCAGGCTAAGGAGAGGAAAGGCAGAAAGGACTGCCTAGTCTATGGATTCTGGCCAAACCTAGGACTCGCAGGAAGGGTGAGATCAGACTCAGAGGGTGCATTCAGGACTCTTGTTTTTTCCCCAAAATTTGTAAAACTCTAGTGCTTTCAAGATTAAAAGCATCTGTAGATAAGAAATTCCTTTGCTAAGCCTGTGCTCCTTGCTTGCCTGCCATGTAGTCCCTGAAAGGGTTAATCAAGCTCAGAATGGTGGAACTCAGATCTAATGTGTATAAGCAACTGGGGGCCCAGGAGGGCTGAGGCACTGGTTTCAGGGTTAAGGTGTCTGGGCTGCAGAGCCCCACGTCCCAAGGAAGGGATTCAGACATGAGGCCTTGCCTGGGAATGTGCCTTAAAGACTCAGAGCTAGGAACAGTGACCAAGCTCTGATCAGACCCAGTTGGCTTAAGAACACGAATGTAAGGGGACTGTTGCCCTCTTACTAACATTCAGTGGCGGCGTTTTTGTGGCCGGCTCCCAGGACAAAAAGGGGAGGCGATGCAGGAGAAA